CGGATCATCCAATCGCGAGATAATCGCAATTGTATTATCGGCCGAAATTATGAATCAATAAATTCTACTTTAAATAAGGAGTCTTGATTTCGAAATACGATCGCGAATATCTCGAGTTGTGCTGATACAAAATCAATGAATGTTAGCTCATTGGATTCGTCTAGTCGCGGGGAATCGAATGGTAGTTGTTTCATATGAATCGGTGCGATAATGACCGAGATCGTACATCTTTTGTTTTTTTTTCTATATATAAAAAATCATGTGATATGACGTCATTTCGACCATTTCGACTTTTCATTTTGACTTTGACCTCCAAAGTCGAAACATTTCGACTTTTGGGTTTTTATTTCGACTTCATGTATAATCATACTCATCATATTTTATTTTTTACTATCTAATTTAAGAATTTAGATTTTTTTTTAGAATATGAAATCCTATTTATTACTTATTATTTGTTCTCATCCTTTCCTTTGATGTAGCATTAAGTTTAGATAAGTTAAGATTAGTATACTTGTAATATGAGATTAATAAGGTAGTAAGTTTAGTTTATATAAATTAGCTACATTATAGATCTGAGAATTTTTTGATGAAAAGTCAATTTCATAGGAAGACTTTCTTATAATTAGTTAAATAAGTTATACTAACTTTATAATTAATTATATATATATCATGTGATATTTTATACTATCTTTTATTTATTATATATTGAATATTTTTATTAAATTCTATAATTTGAATACTATAAAATTTTAATAGATTAATAATGCATCAGGAAAAATTTTAAACATAATCTTTCATAAAATTTACACTAAAATGTATAAATATTACAAAGTTTTACACTATAATATTACTAAGATTTGCAAAGTTCTACAGTTTATAAACTGTAGTATTATAAAGATTTACACTTAAATATAGTCTTACGTAATATTTATAATTCAAAATTGTGAAGGATTATGTAAGGTTATAAGGTTATAAAGAATTACAAAATTTATATAAATCTTGCGAAGGTTAACACTTAAAAAATTTTTGTGATATATATATTCTATTAGCATTATTCTATAAAATAAGAGACAATAAAAGCATTAAATCTATTATTATTACAAAAATATATATAATTATAAGTTTGACTATTTGCTATAACTTTAATCATATGTTTTTAATAGAAAAAAAAGTATAATTATATATATTACAGTTTACTTAGATAATAAAAGTAAGTTTTAGATATGGATTTTGATTTTTAATATGAATATTTCAAAATAATTAATTTTACAAAAATCAACATTTAAAAGCTACTTTTATTTTTTAAGTAAACTTGTAAAGCAGATAAAATTAAATATAAAGCATGAGTTTTAAGATTAGATAACGTCTGTAATAAGTTTTTATTAATAAAACAAAAAAAAAATTTTTTCCTGATAAATTTTGATTACTATTTTTGGAAATGATCTGTAATTTCAGTCACGTGGGGTGAAAAAAGTGTTGGTGAAAATGATCCTATGAGAGTCAATTATTACTAATCTTATTCATTATAACCACAAGAATTTTCATCCCACGTGATTTAGTAAATTATTATGATATTTGTCCTGCTCCACTTTTTCATTTTTATTAAGTGAATACATAGTAAAAATGAAATCAGGGAGGCTTGACGCGGGGTGACAAATAGTGCATATCACGTGGGGGTGGAAATTCTGTATTTTTCACGTGATACTTATTTTAAAAAAAATAATTATATAAGGAGTCACCTATATCCTAGGTACATTTTAAAAAATTGCTGTGACAAATTGTGAATGTCACGTGTAGGTGGAAAATTTTGGGGTTAGATCATTTGAGGTGCCTCAGTTGTCAATTGACATTTACATGGAATCTTGGAAAACATATTTAATATTTATATGTAATGCTAATATCATTTTAATCTTTTATTAATTTGTAATCGCATTTAAGACAAAGAAACATCGCGCAAGTTCACCAAAGTTTCAAATCATTGGAATAAATGAAGTGACATTATGGCATAAAAATCGAAGAACGATGGCAAAAAACATGGCAAGACTTTAATAATAATATAATGTATTGGGTGGGCACATAAAAAATCACATTGTTACGATTACATTTGTTTCTGGTATTTTTATTAAATGAAAAACATAATAAAAAAAATTTTTCTGACTTTACCCTACAAATCGAATATGAAATCACGTTTAAGCCTAAAAAAAATCGGCTACCATTATTTTCAGGGATGTGTCCGCATATACGGTATAAGGTATCTTTTTAACAGGTATGTCAAAACGTAAATTTATACGAAACATTTTACTCCACCACCAGGTTCATGAGAAAAGTTTTCTTCATTGTTGAAAAAAATCTGAAAAATTTGATGAATAAGAAAAATGAATACAATTAATTATATTCATTTGATATTCCAAAAGTCCTAAAATACTATTGATACCAAAAAATTTAAAATTAAAATTTTACTTGCCATCAAAATTTAAATTATCCGAACCAAATAATCGTTAGGATATAGTAAGAAAAAACATAAGTTCTGTGTTGGCTATGCCAAAAAAATTATACCTAATAAAAAAAAAAAAAAGAAATTAATATTTATTTTGTTTCATTAATATATAAAAAAAATATATATATATAAAACAGATGCCTATAGTTGAGAAATCTAGAAATTTGAAATGATTTTATACTCGCTGGCCAACTGACAGTTGAGAAACATTTGTTAGAGCTAGCGTGTCCGTGAAAATTTTTACCATTTTAATATTACAAATTTCAAGATTTTCTCCTTTCTAGTGAAAAGCATCCATGTAATATTATAAAAAAATTTAAAACCTACCAAATATTCTTTTTATTAGACTTAGTGAGACCAGTCATTATTCCATTTTTCTTCTCTTGTTATGAAGAGAACGAGTTGAACAAACTGGCTTTTGGTCATAACCTACCATATTTATACATAAATTATTCTTTTTTTTTTTAGAACTTTCCGATTTCTTTGGTTTTATTTCGCTTTCTTTATTTTTAACTTGTTTTGGATAGTTAACTTTGCGAATTGATAATTTTACACGAGGTTCCCTATTTTTGATTTTTTTTCTATCCTCATTTTCTTTTTGCGTATTTACGGCCGGAGGAGCATCCGCAAAATCGAAGCTCATGTCGAGTGATGGAGACTCGACGACTTGTAAATTGCCATTCCTTTCATTTTCCATCTTAACAATTTCATATTGATATAATGTGCTGAAAAATAACTCTAATGAATTCATTTTATTTTGTAGATTTGTTAGGTTTTTAATGTTTTTGCAGAGAGATATGGTTACAAGTATTTGATCAAAACAAAAACCCCCTTTTTAACAAAAAATAATTTTTTTTTTTCCGAATTAGGTTAGTTGTCACGGTAAATTCCCCATTTTAATATTTTGACTTTGATTTTAGCACGTGACGCCGATAAATTCCCGTGAATTCGATTAGGCGTTATTTTTTTTAATCGTTCTAAAGCATCTAACTCAATGTTAATCCATTAGATGCTCTTTTTCTTTTTATAACAAATAATAAAAATTTTAATATACAATAATAATCTCTATAATTGAATTTAAATTATTTTAACTAAATAACTTAAGGAATATATTAAGCGTAGTTTTTAAATTAAATTTTTTTTAAAGAATTATTTTTTCTTTAAATAATATATAATAAAAATATTAAAGTTTTATAAATAAATATATATGGTAAGGTAATACTAGTTTTGATTACTTTAATATTCAGTATTTTTTTTAGACTAATTCAATTCAAATCTTTTTTAAAAATTTATATTTTATTTAAATAAAAGCTTATTTAAAGGTTCCAATGGATAGGTAGACAATTTCAAGAAACGGCATAATTTACGGCTATATTATACATGGTGAAGCTGCAAGTACGTCTCTCGATGCAATGCGTAATGAAATTCGTAGCGTTCTTAAGAAGTATGACCCCAACGATGTCTTTAATTGTGATGAAACAGGTTTATATGCAAAACATGCATTACTTATTTATGTAAACTTATAAATCTTTAAATAAATTTTGTAAATTTTTAAATTTTATATATCTAATATACAATTATACTTATAAAATTATATTAAATTTAAGTTCTATTAACTTGATATAAACTTAATAAATTTATAATTTATTTCAAAATAAATGATTAATTTATTAATTAAAAGATAATAATTTTGATAAATAATATTTTGAATATTTTTAAAAAAAATATCTCTTATATTTATTATTTATAAATAAAATAATAATGCTTATTTTAAGATAATAAAAAAAAAAAATTTATTTTAAAAGAATTTAAAATATCACATTAATAAATAAATAATTATCATTAATGTAAATAATAAATTAAATTAAATTTTTAATTTATATTCTAATTTATTTTATAATTTATTTTAATATTTTTAATTATAACTAATTATAAATATTATATTATATAAATTTTACAATAAATAAAATATATAAATTTATAATAATTATAATATATATATATTTTTTATAATTTTTATAAATATTTAAAGTTTTTAATTAAAATTAAAATAATTAAATAATAAATATAAAGTTTTAAAATTTTTATCCCTTAAATAATAATGATTTTTTATTAATTATTATATAATTTTTTTTTAATCTTTAGTTAAAATACATTATAAATTTATTATAAATCTATTATTTTTAAATAAAATTTCATTTTTAATAATTAAAATATTAAATATATACTTAAAATTTATGACTTTTTTATATATAAAGGAAAAATGTAGCTGATGAACTATGATCCTTGTCTAATTAGCTAATAAAATATAACATTATAATTATTACATAAATTTTATATATTAAAAGTTTGTTTTTACTATTTTATTTTTTATTTTTTACTTTATATTTAAGAATTTGTAATATTTATATGTAAATTTTTATCTATTCTGCATAAAATTATTAATAATTTTAAAAAATTATTGGTTTACAAACTTTTATTATTTATTTTTTTCATCTAATATTTCACAACGTAATTTTAATACTTTAAAAAAATAAAATTGACCTTCAGTAACTAAGTAAACTAATTCAGTAACTTTGAATTACTTATATATAAATTTTAATAAATATTAATGTGTTATGTATAAAGTTATTATTATTTTTGAAACAATACTAATTCATGAACCTTTATTTTATTTTTTACCTAATAATTTATGGTGTAATTTTAATACTTTGTAATTTTGTAAAGATTGGATGAGTAAAAATAAAATTACAGTTAAAATTGGATATAATAATACTATTATATAATATTTTATAATAATAAAAACCCAAAATATTATAATTAAATTTACTTTTATATATCAATTTTAATTAATAAATTTCTTTATTTAGTATTATGATAAATATTACAGATATTATATATACTTTTAGTATTATAATATAATTATATTACTATATAATAATATAAAATTTATATATAATAATATGTAATCTTATACATGGAGTATAATTATTCCTATTATTTTTGCAAAAGTATTTTATTAAAGTATAGAATATAAAAATCATTTAATATTGATTTGTTATATACATTTTTTTTATATTGCAAAATAAAGATTATTTTAATATAATAATATTATATTATACTAATATATTTTAAGTAAAATAAATTAGAAATTATAACTTCTCTATTATTCATTAGATAAAATATCTTATATTTATATAAATAAATTAATTTAAAATTTAATATAATTATGAATTAAAGATTGATTAAAATGTTAATTTTTATTTCTGTTAAATAAATTTAAGTTAAACTATAGTTAAATTAGAATTGTTTATTATATTAATAATAAAGATAAATTAGGGTTAAATTAGAATTAAATTAGAAATGATAATTGTATTAATTTTCAAATATTAATTTATTGGCTAATAAAATATCATAGTAAATCATATAATCTGTAAAGTGATTTTAATAGCTAATTACCTATATTATTAATTTATAGTTGAATTAGAAATAAATCAGTGATGATTAAAGATAGCACTATAATTACTAAATTGTGTTATAACTCATGTTATAATATTATAATTAAATTTATTAATATCACAATTAAGTTACAACTCAAATGAAATTTATAAACAATTATGAAAACTATCTTTAATGGTAATTATTATATTGATTTAAATTAATTAATTTAAATATTTTTATTAAATTAAAATTCGTAATTTTTTTTATAATTTGAATTAAATATGAATTTTAAAATATAAAAATTAGATTTATAAATTTTTTAATTATAATATAATAAGATTAAAAATTTTAGAATTTATTAGCAGTTAAATAATTATTTATTTTTAAAAGCAAAAGTTTTATTACATAAAAAAAATATAAAAATATAAAAAAATAAATTTGTATATATAGTGGCTTCTAAAAAAAATGCAAGTAGAGTTGCTTGCCTTTAAAAACTTATAATTTATCAATCACAAATACTAGAAATATGGATTTGGATTTGTTTTAATCTCAAAACCTAACTAATATTTAGTAAAATTTGATATATGATTATTAAGACCAATTTTGCACAATTTAGCGATTTACATTAAAAATATTTACTTAATAAAATATATGTGTAGAAAAAATTTTTTAATAGGTTAACTACTCAAATACTAATACTGAATTCTAATTTTCCTAAGTGCTGCAATTTTAACAAGCTAAAATTATCTAAATTGAATCAGTAAATCAGTAAAAAATCAATAAAGAAATCTGCATACATCATATAAAAATTTATTTTTTAACGATATGGCACTACCAATAACTTTATTAAATTTATACAATAAACAAAAAATAAATCTTAAAAATCTATATATAAGTACTAGCTATCCCATATGATTATATTGCAAATCCATTTGAATCAACTTATCATCATCTTTTCCTTCCAACAGATCCACTAAATACATATCTAATGATTACTGTTATTATAAAGAAAAGAAAAAGAGAAAGTCAGTATCTATCTAAAAATCTGAAAATTTGTTATCATACTTGATCAAAAGATGTATCCAGTATTTCCACATGTTAGAAGCTTGATAGTTATTAGCATGTTCTAAAAATTTACTGAAACCACATAAATGCTTATCCTTTAAAGTTATATTCACTAGTTTTTCTTTAACAATTATAAGTTTACATTGAAATTTCCACACTTCTTCATACATTTTTTAAAAAAAACAAAAAAAGTTATATGATAATTTTAATAGATTTGTTTCTACTTTACGTGGCTTTGTGGATGACAGATATTAGAAAGCACGAAATTAATGCTTTTATAATATAAATGAGACCTATATCTGAGGAGATATTGAATGTTTGATTGAAGATAAAAGTAATTTTGAATGTTAAAGAAGAATTAAATGAGTAGACTTCGAGGAGTTGATCCAATAAACTTTTTGTAAAAGAATAATTGTGGTAATTTTGAATTCGTAGGCAAAGAAATGCCTATAAGTAGGGTGTATTTCTAGATTAACATTACAGTCAATATAATTCCAGTTTTATATAGATCAGGAAGAAGATGAATTATTTTAGCTATAACAGAAAGTTCATCCAATAGATTTTTAAAAATAAAGGTTTTCAATCGACTTTGTATTTTAATCAGAATATTATAAATATATCAATAGGATTATTCTTATTGATATCAATTTATTAAAATCTAGCTTATAATTAAATTATTCCTAAATTATTAATAGAAATATTCTTATTGTTTTTTTATTTTTTCTTTATAGTATACAAAGTGAAAATATTTATATAGAAATTTATGCTATCTCAATAAGATAGAAGTTTGTGTAATTTTATAAAAGCTCCTGTAATTTCAATATTATCTGCACTAAAGCATTGAATAAGATAATTATTTAGTAATACTAATCTAATCATTACCATATATACAAAGGTTCGTGTTAGGATAGATCCTATATGTGCTTTTGAGAGGATTTTTATATAAGTATCTAGCTGACTAGGTTCATATCAAATTTGGACAGAAGAATTACACAATTATAGTTCAATAAACTAATGTTACAAGGTTTATAAGACATTGTTACAAGATTTGCATAAACAGTAAACTAACAGATAACTATCATATCTATTTTATCAAATAATCAAAAATCAAACCCGACCTTTACCTCTAATGATACACTCAATTAAGCAGTACTATAGCATACAATGCAGTCTATTATTATTAAAGAACTGATCAATTACTTCCTTAAACTTTATTAAAGGCTTCTACAAAATGAAACGTAAGAT